TTAGAAACCATGGCTTGTGTCTGTAGTTATACACACTAATATGTATACGACAGATGCAAATGTACATTAAGACGAGTATTTATTTCATTTCTTCGTCAAATATTGCGGAATCAGTGATTTTTATTCTCTCCCATCATTATAAAGACACCCTAGAAAAATAATTTATCTCGTTGCTTAAGTAAAATGAAATAAGACATGACGCAAAGCGCAAAGAGAAGTTTTGTTTCGCGATGATTACGGTCGACACTTTTTGGTATCATGTACTCATTTGTACGTCGATATTGTATGTTAAGTTACAGTGGCGGCGTTCGGAAATGTCACTCGGATGCCTCCGATGCCTCGGATTCATCATCTGTCCTTGTTTAATATTAAATGTTAAACAAGGATAGATGATGAATCCGAAGCATCGGGGGGGAGGCATCCGAGCGACGTTTTCGAACGCAGCCAATTACGTAGTTGTAGACACATCGATAGATGATAGACACCTGTTATGTAATGTCCCGAGATTCCTATATTTTTGTCGAGTTATGATGAAAAGTATAAGAGAATCGCGCGAGAGGTATTAATTTAGTAGGTTGAGGACCTACAGTGCTAATGTCAGTGAATAAAATATAGCGAGATAAAAAAGAGGATAAAGAATTGCGCAGGCATTTATATAAAAAAAAAGAATTGACCAAGATTCCTTAAATATTAAAAACAAACTGAAACGTCATTTCAATTGTATGATTCTGCATCACTGCAACAGGCTGAACTATAAAAATTACAAAGACAGGGTTTAACAAATATAATTAATAAAGAAAGACAGAAATAACAATCGAGCGTATTACAATGTGCTGCACAAACTTTCGGAATCCCGCTCATTTCGTATTTTTTAACTTTATACGCTTCGATTAAATTCCTGTCATTTATGTAATAATCACGATAAATCGATAATTAATCGGTAATTAATCCTTTGTTTTCAAAATGCGAAAGACTTTTTTAGACTATTGAAAATAAGATAGAGATGCATTGCGATTATAAACTGTCTATCAAAATTTGTTATTACCATATTAGTCGCTATAAAATATGGCATGAATTAAAAAAAAAATCACGAGAAAAATTCTAATCAATTTAAATTAAAATTTTATTGTAAATGTCTCGATTCTTGCTAGACGATTGTATCAATACATAGCTAAAAATTTAATTACCGACAAGTAACAACTCGTGTAAAGTGTATATGCGAGCGTGTTGTGCGCAATTTTACAGGATTCTGTTTCAATCTCTCACAGAATCTTATATGAGCGACGATGAAATATACGACGATGTGTATGTACAACGTATGATGTGTATGGAGAACGTATCAGCGACATTATATGCGCATACGCACATGCATCAACTTTTTTAACAACTTGATACGCAAGCACACAATGATATACGCACATAGACTAAGGATTCCTAATTCTTCTAGAACAAGAATGAAGTCGATAATTGACAATGTAAAAAGACTTATTCGTCGAAATTTTCTTTTTCTTTCCAATATATCGTTATATTATCCGAGCTAGTAAGATTACATTATTTGTTAATATTACTTATTTCTTCGCGTTATGCTATTTTCTTTTCATCAACATAATAATCCAATCTTCTCCTGATCATGTCAAATTTTCAGACTTAGTACACATCTCTCATCGAAAATATATGTATATATGTATATAGTTTCTTTTTATAAAATTATTATATACAATTAATATTATAAATTTGTGATTATATAATTTATTTTTAAATATTGTAGCGAAAAGATATTTGATTTCCGTATTTCAATAGGAAAGTGATTGAAATAGCTGCTAATTAACTGCCTTGAAATTGCGTTGCTTGATCTATGTACATACGTCATTAGCGCGCAAGCATTTCGTTAATTTTCGACTAAAGTATAATGACAATCGAAGGAAAGTTGGTGAACGACTTGCTATATACGGGGCGTTCAAGTAGCGACGACGAGGAAGGTGGTACGCAATTATAGCAGCGATGTACAAGCAACAAGATCTTTTCGCAGAATCATAAAAACGATCTACCATGATCAGACTGTTGGATCAAGAGCATAAAAATTTATACACGTTACCACGTATCATCGGAGCGCCAGAATTTCTCAGAAAGCGAGATGCGAATTTCAGGGCAAAAGGAAAACGATTACTTTTACACAAATCTCGAAACGCCGTGCACGTGCAACGTATCGCGAAATTATATTATACTTGCGTGCATAGTAACGAAGAACTTGAACGTGGCACATTTCTTACATTCGCGCGTATGGGCTAGGATATATACAGACGATTGCTGCTGTGGATAGCGCGCGTGCCTAAGTACAGAGAAATTAAAAAAATAATTCGATTTACGGCATACACACACACACACACACACATGCGCGCGCGCGCGCGCGCGCACGCGCGCGTGTGTCAGTGAAAAAAGGGGAATCCATATCCGTGAGAGATCTCGATCGTAAGAAACGTACGTTAAAACGATGAGAATCCGTGGACGGTCACCCTGTACATATACTCGATACATAGTTATATAATTAAAACGCTCTTCGAAATACTGTAAAATCTCACAAAATACTCTTCTCGTAAAAAGGGCGCTGCTGAGACTCCTATAGGTCGGGCCAATGTAATAATAAGAATCGAGATTCGGAAGTGTCGAAAGCTCAACGAAAGAAAACGAAAGAGACGTGAAGATTCTATGCGAGATGTACGGAGGGGAGCGAGGCAAAAGTATAGCGGAGATTCGGAAACGAGTATAAGGATCGAAGAGAGTCAAAAAACGATAAAAGTTCCTTTTTCTTTTTTTTCTTTTTTTTCCTTTTTACCGAAAAGGTTCGCCTAAGTCTTAGGAAACGTCCTTAACTCTAATCCGAACGATAATTCACTTGAAGAGTGTGTTGAACGAGGAGGATCATCTCTCGAAATCACATCCGACGACGACGTTGGCCCACGCTTATGACAGGATTCGCGCGAAGCGTTCCGCCACGAAGCGGAATCACATGCGAGAGGAATAAAATTAACGAGGTAATGGTTCACAGTACGTACGATCGAACGCACGGCGAGAGAGAGTTTCGTTCCCAATCCCGCCATCATCGTCCGGATGGACGACGACGAGTGTTCAGCATACTCTTTCTTTCTGAAAAGAGAGTCGAGTGATCGCGAGTCGCGAGAATAAATACGCTACGCCACGCCCGCTCGTTTGTTTTCGTTCTCAACTCACTGACCAACGACTGACGGTGGTAGGTCACGGTGCGGGGCCGACGTGTCGATGCGCGGACGTCTCGCGTCCTGCCTTGCTCGCTCGCGGTTTGGTTTGGCGCGAAATTAAATTCGCGCGAGGGAGAAGGAACTCGCTTCAGACAGATCTCACAGCGCGCAGCGCCAGGTGTTGCTACGTTGCTTACGGTGTATAATGTGTATCGCTATATACCGACTCTCGTCGACGAGGAGAAGAGTCACCCTCAAGGTCCGCTGGCGCGCACTCGATGAACGCGCGGTACTACTATAGTGTCCTTCGGACTATACACGTTTATCGGTTTTTCGATTTGTCGGTTTTGGACTGGCGAGGAAGCCCTACGCGTTACCTGAATATACCCAGGTATATGAGGTATATGGAACTCGAACGAGTCCTCCTCGCGAGGCCATAGTTGATGGCACAGCTCGCTCTCGCTCATTCACACTTCGCACTGGCTGCAGCAGCGACTCAGGGTGCAGCACGAGCGTGACCAAAGGTCAGGTTAACGAATAATGACAGAAGACGTCGGCAGGAACGAAGTCACAAGAGCTCGTATTGGCGCAGATGCATCCGCTGGATGATGTCTCGACAATCGTTGAACACTCTCTTGATGTTCTCCGTGTCGACGGCGCACGTAAAGTGTGGGTAACAATAGTGCTTGCCGTCGCCGCTCGCCGTACTTATGCGCTAGACAAACAAGCAACAACGTCACAAAACACACATGTGTTACGTGGATTACGTGCTCACTATACTTACGAGAAACTCATCTCTTATAAAGTACTTGGCCCTTATGACATCAGGTATTTCCGAGGGATCCGCAGCCATCCCGGGCTCGACTGGTGTTTGGTAGCGTGCGAATTCCGGAAAGTAATCCTCCAATTTGTGCTTGCCCGCCTTGACCTTTTCCGCTAATAGATCTTGCTTGTTTAGAAACAGGATTACCGAGATCGTGCGGAGCCACCTGTGAGGAAAGAGACAACATCTGTCAGAATCAAAAGGAATATTGATATGATGAATTATTTTGCCCGGCGCGTGCTTAGTAAAATTGAAGCTGCGTACCGATTGTTCCAGATACTTTTAAAGAGATCGAGACTCTCCCTGAGTCTCAATTTTGTAGGGTCTTCCCTGAGTACCATATTGTAACTACTACACGCCGTGACGAATATAATCGCCGTGACATCGTTGAAACACTGTATCCATTTTCTTCTTTCGTCACGCTGGCCGCCAACGTCGAACATACTGCAAAACCGAGGAAATGCTCACAAATATAAAAATACCGGTGTCTAACGACGGTTCTCATAATGCCCTTATCCGTTTGCAACTAATATTGCTAAAAAATAAAATTGCAAGTATGACTTATTACATGTTTGAAGAAAATAGATGGATTTTCCAGATCCAATTTTAGAATTTGCCGTTTGCACGTCACAACGGTTCTTTATTTACGGTTCTTCTCAAAGAAACGGTCAAATGGATGGTGATGAATAAAATGCACGATGCCAAATGCACGAATTTCTCGAGTATTTTTCGTATATTTATTATATTTGTCAGAAGCGAAACGGCTATACAAGCATAGCGAGAGAGGCGACAACAACAAAGGGGTGTGGTGGGCCTATAGAAAATAATATGTGGGGCGCGCCGTACGTGACTTGCGAGTGAAGGCAAAAAGGGAAAATGTTACAAAGTTGCGAAGGCGTTAACGCGGTTAACGGATTTCAGCTTACACGTTATAACAGTGTAAGTCTTGCCAGCAGCGAGCTTAATACATAGAGGTGGCAAATGCTAGGCTAAGATGCGTGCCACCGCCGCTGGGCACTACCGCCGTCGCAGTCGCCGTCGCCGCCCGCGCCGCCGCGCCGTCGCTTTGCGTTTATATTTACCATCGGCCGATGTGACTGTAATACGTCGGCTATATATAGTCACACGACATTGAAGTAAAACGCGCGCGAGTAACAGCATGTCGCGCATTATGGGACTTACTGAAAGTTTACTTTGTCGACCTGAAACCGCGTCTCAAAAATGCCAGACGTGAGGACTCGACACCTGAGGATGTCCTGGAACAAAACGAAAGTATATACTCGTTACGCTGCTAACTGCGATTACACACACAAGTACATGTATAAAAATGCGGGAACGCTTTGTGAGTACCGAGACTTTGTGAGTGCCAAGCGAGAATCTAAGATCGACAAGTAATTTCAAGCTTTTAATAACGGAATATATGGGGAAAAGAAATAGTTTCCAATATGCCTGAAACTTTAAAATTACGCCGTCATTATCAATATTAAAAGACTCAAACGAAAGGAAAACTAATAATTACCTGCTCCGTGGGCGTGTAATCTGGCTGTTTTACGATGGCTACCTTATCTAGAAAACTGAAACAGAATGAAATTAGTGAAATTAGGAATTAGTGAAGGAACAATTGCAAATTTTTATTGCTACTTTGCAGAAATATAACTTAACTCTTCGTAAGATATACGCGGTGTTTTAATTTATGAAAATTTGTATTAAGAGAAAAGGGGAATCCTCGAAAGAATTATTATATCCCTGGCACACTATTACAAACCTCCTCTTAAAAAAGAAAACGACAGATATATCCGTACCAACAACGCGACAACATGAATTCGTCAAAATCAAGTTGATCTATTAGTTTCGATCGATGTCGGGGCATCCGCGATAACAATCATTGTCAATCAACCGCATCGTTATCGTGAGAGCCACTTGACATGCACATACGTCCGTACCTGGTCGAAAACATGTCTCTTTCGTGTGCGATGTAGATGTGAATCAAATTTTTGTCACCGAAATCTTGAGTTTTCCAACACGAACAATCCGCAATACGAATTGGAGACGTAAAAAAACTTGTTTGTTACATGTATAATGCCCATCGTAAGAAATACGTAAATCTAAATACTATATGAAAGAAAGATGTACTCTATAGGAGTGAGACAAGTATCACATGTGTGCAATAATTCAAATCTCATAGCATTGTTAAAATAAATGGAATATACAATTTGTATTTTATCGAGATTCGATGCAAGGAATTCAGAATTTAAATTACATTACAATTACTTTTTTTTTATAAGGACAGAGAGCTTACATCGCAAAAGTAAAGAAATTCGAAGCAGAAAGGCATCGAGAAAGGTAAAGGCCGAACGATCTTGTCGCTGTGGAATTTTTCTTCGCGCATGTATATATACACTCGTTTTTATCTATTTCTTGCAAAGTGCATATAAAAGAGGTCTGTACATAGCACGTCGCTTTCCATATGCCTTAGTTCCACCGCACGTTGCTTCGGTTGCATGTACAGAGAGTTGCTCAAAATTTCAAAGATTCGTATATTTTCAAAAGTATACTATATTTTCTATTGTAATATACAAAGGAAGCATGTGCCGACGTGTGAAGAGAGAAAAGGCACAAACCTAGAAACAACTATATACGATAGTGAAGCTACTTTTTCCTGCGATATTTTTTTTCTATATTTCTATCTACCATATACATACATGTATATATGTAGATCGTAGATGCTCGATATGCTTTGAATTATATGGTCCCCATATTTATTCTGTCGATGTAAAACAGTTTGTACAGTTTGTATTTGTATGTATGAGAACAAGAACGAAAGATGCTGAATAAATGTTAAATCACCTATACACGACGACCTATACACGATTTTTGTATGTAGTTTAGTCGCAGCATTAAAACGTTTCTGATCATTCGCGTCGCAATGTACTCTCTCGCGGCGAGGCAGCGTAATGCGAATAAGAAAAAATCTTAACCCGCCATCTTCATCTTTACATCTCTTTCGACGTCAACTGCGTGTCCGTTTAGGATTTGTACGGCTCGCTTTCCGAGATTTGTAATTGCGCCAGTAAAGGGCGTGTTCAAAACGTGTCGTGCATAGGTAGGTACTCTCTGACCATCTTTTTATCGATAACAGTTACCATTTCATTCGAAAGAATAATTCGACTGAGAACTTGTTATATTTAATTAAAACTCAAAACGCTTGACGGCGAAGAGTGACTTATTCCTAGATATGATATAATAAAGGATATGATATAATAAAGCGTATTAGATCATGCAACAATAAATTAAATCGTATTATTATATCGTGCCGATCTTTCGTAGCTGTTATTCGCGATATATTATCGCATTATATAGTTACACTAGTTGTACGAGAAACAGCGTTATATACTGACCGCATAATATTATATACGTCCCCCGGTGTAGAACCGCGGGGATAATAATAAACCATGTTATTATATTCGCATCGATCTTACGACTATTGCTCGCGGTACGATATCCATCAGATTGTTACAATTATATCAGACACTGCTGTACAACTGCATCGCATTATGCATGTATGTATCTCTGGCTCGCTGGAATAGAACCGCGGGATAATAATAAACCCGTATTATCTCATTTACATCGATTTCCTGTCTGGATTACGAGTGTACAGAGTGAACTGTTATCGATAGCATCTCGATTCACGTTCTCGCCGTTGCCAAAATTGTCAAATTGTTTTTGTCGCATGTCTATTGATTATAGACTTATAGAGGAGAGCACGTAATGCGCAGTCCTCTCGACACAAGAAAAAAAAAGGAAAAAGCTGGGGGGGCAGCAATTCCGTTTAGGTTTAGACTATTAGGAATACGGGCCAATAACGTTTTCAGAGGCGGTCGCGGTCGGAGCCCTCCGACACAGTGTCAACTTTCCTCTTTCGATCGAGCCGCGTTCCTGGGTCGGCCGGGCTTGAGCCGATCCCTCTCCCTCCCTCTCTCTCTCTCTCACCTTTCGTCTCGTCACCGCTCCACTGGAGCGAGAGGAGTACCGTGCTCCTGCTCGGTAGAGTCTCAGACAGGGACACGTAGGATGCCGCAGGATCCTGATGCAGGAAGCGCGTCGACGATAGCGCGCATATCGCGACGGAGAACGGAAGCGGATGCTGAAGAAGGGCAGAACATCGGGAGCGCCCAAGGGAATCTCTCTCTCTCTCTCTCTCTCTCTCTCTCCCCCCCCCTTTCTCTCGTTATTTCGCGTCCTGTGTTTGTACTCGCGTTCGCCCTCACTCTTCTTTTCTCCACCCTGTCTCCACCCTCTATCACCCTTTCAAAGAGCCAACATTCTCTTTCTCTCGTGCGCGTTTATCATGTATACGAGCGCATGCACGTACACACGCTCTCTTTACCTTTCTCATATACCCCGCTCTCTCATTCACTTACGCCCCTCCTCCCCCTCTCTCTCTCACTCTCTGTGTGCGTATGTGTGTGTCGGGACTCTCCCTTCAAGCGATCTAGCAGCCTCCCTTCCTGCGCGCTGAGGGCGGAGGGCGGAGGGAGCCCACCGAGAGAGAAAATCGATCCTCGACGATGTCCTACCCTAACCCCAACCCCTCGGCCTCGCCGGGTGTGCATACACGCCCCTCTGGCACCCACTTTCCGCGATCCGGGTCATGGGTCACTGCCACCGCTCGTTCTCCGTTTGCTGCCAATCGTACGCAAAGATTTAACACTGCGTGTGTTATTTATCGCGGAAAATGTTATTATAAAATGCCTCCTCTTTTACGAGATAATTGAAGGTGTTCGCGTATTATATATATATATATATATATAAAATTAAAGAGTAGCAGTAGCGATGACATTTGCTAATAGCCTGGTACTGGATACTTTCTCACGTCATTACATACATGTAAAATATACAAAAAAATTAAACACAGTTCCAATAATAATTTTCTCAATGAGAAAAAAACAAGAGGACAAAGAATTGTTAAAATACAGATTAAATAATGACGTGATAAAAATAAAATTAAAAGAGAATATAAAATATTATAACTTTGTGTAAGAATAATATATACGCTACCAAGTCAAGTGAATGCTGGTTTATTTCATCAAGAAGTGTGCAGTAGATAAATGAAAAAGCACTTGGCCTTTGAATGTGCTCGAAAGAGAGACGATAATATCGTGTGACAATAAGTACTTACATCGATGACACACTAACGAGACGTAATGCGACTGCAAAACTATAATTTGCTTCTAAAGAATACTTATTTGTGTGATAGCTAGCTTTCTTTCCGAAACTGTATAATTATGGGAGAGTCTGATATTATAATTAAACCAACGCAACGCAGGAAACTTTTAACTTTTTCAAATTTTTCAATAAACTTTTCATACGTGCGAGTCGATTATAAATATATATTTTCTTATTATATTGGGCGTTTTTGGTTCAATTTGTATTATTATATCGATATTTTAAATCGACACTTTGATTAACTTCGTTTTGACAGTAAGTTGAGATATACGAGAGAAGAGACTAGAGCAAATTTCATGTTTTTTAATGCAAATATAATTTACTTAGAAAAGTAAATATATAATGTATCCTCCGAAATCAACTTTCCGGTATACTCTTCTTAATAAATTAAACGAAGATACATCGATGTTACGTAACTTGACGTTACTCGGAGTATAGGTACTATATCATAACGTACTTTGTTTCGAAGGTCCCTGTGTAAATGAGAAGCATCCATTATTGCTAAAAAGGATCAAATGTCGCGCACAATTTGTCTAATTGTAAAAGGAATACTATAGTTACAAATGGTTACAAATGAGAAAAGGTACGCCGAGTTTCTATAGTACTTGTGAAAAAAATAATGCGCGCATCTGCGTGTCTACGGTCGCGGGTATCGTATAGGCTCGTGCGAAAAGGTAGGTCATGGAATTGGCGCGCTCCGCCAGAAATGAGGCTATCGACCTCCAGAGAATTGAAAGAGGAAGGAGGTCGTAACCTACTGGCGGCTGCTACTGCACAACGATTTTCTCGTTATCATCCTCATGTTAACCCTCCGCCGCCGAGACCTTGAGGTGAACAAATGTTACAACGTTGTTTCTGGCAATCCGGGCTTGGTAAAAATGCGTATCTATAATGTCAATGGAAAATAATAAACATGGTCAAGTAGTACTATACGAAATTGCAGGTCGAGCCTGAAATTGACGTGCATTTTCACGTGCAAACACAGTTAAATAAAGCACTGCAATTTCTTTCTTTCTTTCTTTTTTTTTTAGTAATGAACGCTGCTCAATTATCGATAATTTGCCCTCTCTTATCCGGCGATTTCCTTAGGAATTAGAACGTAAGATCTTGTATAATGTATATGTATAAAGAATCTTTTCCTCTTACAAAAAACAAAACAGCGGCATACAAAGTAGCTGCAAACTGTTATACATACGGCACCATATCTTTTTTATATTAGAGTGTTGTATATAGTGTAAAAGAGCCCGTGATAGTCTCTCGGCAAGACTTTTTATATTTCTGCTGCGTTCATTTAATTATTCTCTGTCAAACTCTCTCGCTACGAGAGAGAGAGAGAGAGAGAGAGAGA